TTAGTGAAGTCTAAAGTTTTTTTTTTTTTTTTACAGTTTAAGTAAACTCGGTATTGATAAACTTAATACTCTGAATATAAGCCTAAGAATAGGTGATTAGGAAAAAAAAAAAAAGATTCTTAAACATCCATCAAGGAAAAGCTATATGAACGATTTCTAGCCTTGTGTGATGAGGGACAAATGCAGTCAGGCTTTTGATACCTGCTCCTTGAAGGGTTTTTGTGAATTCATGTGCCTGGATTAAGTGGGAAAAAAAAAACTTGAAATGTAAACCTGGAGTAAATTCATGTTTGGTATGGGCTACCTCAGCTCACGGGGAAAAGGGGCACCTAGCTTATGTGTCATTGTGAGGACTTTAGACTCTTAAGTGGGCAGTTACAAGGCCGGCTGCCTCCTAGCAGAAGTGAGCAGTTACCACAGAGTGGTTGAGGTCACAAGGGACCCCTAGAGGTCACCTAGACCAACCCCCCGCTCGATGGAGATGCCCTCGCGATTCTTAGGATAGGAAGGTTGCCCTTGCCCTGGACACACGGACGGGGAGCACCGCTGAGTGGCAGCAAAAGGGTCACCACAAAGGAGAGTTTGCCCCTTTCCCCACATGCCCAGGAAAGCTGCCCTAGCTGACACGGACCCTCCAGAAACATTGCGTAGTAGGGCCAGGCTGGCAAAGGCTTCTGGATGCACAAGGCCACTTCCGTGGAGATCTGTGCAGAACTGATAGCAGAATTACGAAGGTGTCCCACAAACACTGGCCTTTACCGTGGGCTTCTCTGGATATCTGCAAGGAAGCCCCTTTTGCTGTTTCTGGTCAGTTTGTCGAGGATGCACTGACTAGTGGAGCTGGTGTGAGGTACTAGTACCACTGAAAAAAAAATGTGTTTTCTCTTGGTGAAAGACTTTTCAATCTTCGTAAACCCTTGCACATACAGTTTTCCCAGCAGGAAGTCATGGACAACCACACGTGCCTTCTTCGTCCATTCCTCCTGCCAGCCCTCAGAGTTGCTGAGTAAGGAAAGGTTTTATTAGTAGGACTGAAGGGCCTGACCAGTCGTTGCAGCAAGATCATTAAGGATGATACCAACAGGCACTGGAAAGAAAATGGCCCAGAAACATCTACTGGCTTTACAGCTCCCACTCATTTTTCCTCAGGAACAAAAAGAAATTTGCCAGCACTGCTACTAGGAATAATATTGATAGTGGATGTGTGACCCCTGCTCCCCATCCTTGTAATCATCTGCTGAGATCTCACTTGGCCTCTACTGCTACAGATCTTGGAGCACATTTCCAGTGACAATTAGCAGATAGATTAAGTATTTACTTTGGCCTCATTCTCTCCTGTATAATATAAGGAACAGACGTGTGGATTCCAGGTGTGTGGATTCCACTCCATAGCCTGAAGTTGTGCCATCAAGGTGCGCAGGTGTATTGCTGGATCTAAATGTAATAGTAGGCAATAAACCACCACAAATCAGTGTAAAGTAAGGCAACTTGCTACTTCAAGTGCCTTGCTATTTAAACTTCCTTGTAAGTGTCTGTTTACTGTATATATTTGCTTGTTTACTGTACATACTTGCTGTATATATTTGCCAGACATAGACCAACAAAATACACTGTAAAATCTGTGTAAGACTGTAAAGGCAATAGCTCTATGGGCAAATGACACTCTACTACTTGAGAAGGAAATTATCTTTGTTATAGGTCATGTGTGAGATACAGCCTAACTACTGAAAAAATAAAATGAACCTGAAGAGAATGCCAGCTTTGATGTTAATATGACTAAAAATAATGAGTCTGAACATTAAACATAATTGCACAGGATGGAATGTCAACAAAGATACAATTATAAAGGTATTACCTCCCTGGGCATATTACTTTCCACATTGTTATCTAGTGCTTCAGATTGCATCTTTGCTCAGCAGAATGGCCAGGTATGAATTGGAAGAGGAAGAGATTCCCTTAGCTCGATTCATTTCCAGTTCCAGGAATCTTCAAGCAGTATTCCCCCATTTCACACTTCATCATTAAGACAACTCACAGAGAGTCATTACTTAATGACACCTGAAACACAACAGTTGTTGGTCACTACATATGGAATGTAAAGAAAAGCTTGTAAAGAAGAAGATTGTAATTAAAGATGAATTAATTCTATCAGAAATATGAGAAATGGAACGGATGCTATACATATTTGTGGGTAGTTACATTTTTATATGTTTTTTATTATGGTAATAGAGATGAACACCTGCAAATAGAATCACAGTATAATTTAGGTTGGAAGGAACCTGTGAATTCCTTCAGGGACCTCTGAACCAACATCCCAGATCAAAGCAGGACTATATACAAAGTTAGACCATATTGGTGAAGGCACATAAACCAACATTGTTTTTCTAGAAACTTCCTGAAATAAACAATGGAATGGTATTTCCTTGTATATTTTGCTGTAACTGTTATTCATTGCTTCGATCACACGGAGCAAATTTAATTCTTTTTGGCACTCACACAACGTGAGGATTATTCCTAAATCTTTTAAAATATGGCGAGTAGACAAAATTTCCTTCTTCTCAGGCCAGACTCTTCTTTGAGAAAATTCTGACTCTGTTAAATTCATGACAAAACTCAGATGAATTATGCTTTATTAGAAACTGGTCAGCAATCCCTACTAATCTTTACTCTTCAATTCCTTAATTACCAATAGAAAGCAAAAAATATTATTTTTTCATTTTAATGTGTCTTTTGATGTGCAAGAGTGAGTAAGAGTCAAATGAAATTCATAAAATTGCTACTTATATCTAGCTTAATAGTTCTTTGTTGCTTGTTCACAATGAAGAACTAAGCCAATTAATTATGTGTGAAGCTGATTCACTCACCCAAGACCTATCTGGAAATATTGCAAGATATAGGTGCCATTTCTGATGACACATAGTATTTTCTACATATAATTTCATTTTGTATGTTTGTGGAAACAAAAATAATTCTTTACCTTAACATATTTCTCCTTTCATGCTTTACTAATACAATTTTATACCTGTTTTCTGTCGCAAGTGAATAGGTTTGGAAATATTGGCTTTTTCTCAGTGATTCAAAATTCGCTATTTTGGTGTCATAATAATAAAGTGAAATACAGACCAATTCTGACCCTCAGATATATCTGACTCTCTATTAATGATGGATGTAAAGATGTTTGCATTTGCTAAAAAATACGTGAATTTAAAATTAGTAAGCAATGCAAGTTTTTCTGTTTTTCTCTTTGCTCTATCTATGTAACATTTGGTTTCTGAGGTAGTTGTTAAATCACTGATTTCTCAGGAAGAAAATGACATACAGTGCATGCAAAATAGAGGGATGGATGCTAGGGGTGATGAGGGAAACAGTAAAACTCCTAAAGTCTCTCCGGTTCCACAAGCAACAGAGTCATGAGTGAAGATCCAGGAAAATGAAGGTTCTAAGATGCTCAAGACAGGATGTAGTGTGTCTAAGGAGACTGAATGTATATTGAGTATGGGAATAGACAGTATATGCAATTTATTTCTCTTTCAAGTTTAAGAAGTCAGTCCAGCACTGCGGATTTTTTTTTTCAGGTAGTTTTGAGAAATTTACTTGATTACATTTCTTTTTCTTTTCCTTTATTTTTTTTTGAAAGATTCATAGTGATTCAGGGAAAATAAGGGATTTTCTAAAACACCGTTCTTAAAACAGTCTCTTTAAATATAGTTAGCACTGTATTTAAACACCGTAATGACCAAATTTAGATATCCTTCATTGCTCTGAGCTGTTAGGAAAAGAAGCAGAGAAAGTCCGTGCAGAAGTTACAGATTATTTTCTCTCACAAAATTAAAATAAAGCAAAATCCTTATCAGTAAGCAGAACAGAAGAGAAAAAACATCTATTAGGGAGTGAAAGAAATGCTGTTGATAGGTACACACACGTAAGTATATGGAACGGTGATAAGCCACATTTACTGTCCACTCCCAGATACAATATCTAACCACAATCTCTCTGCAGGATCATCCTAAACAAGTATATCTTATTTGGACTAAAGATTTAAACAACACTGATGAAACATTTTCCTATAGTCATATTATTTAATTCAGATTTTCCTAGAAATGTTTACCCTTTTTGATCAGTCATTGAGCAATATTTCCAGTTTTCATTTATCTTCTCAATAAATTATGAAGAAAATACCTATAACAGCCTTTATCAGCAGCGTGCTGACTGATGCCATGTGTAACGAATGACACCATGTGCTGTTGCCCCCCAGCTATCTCAGTGGTCTCCAAAGGGCTCTGCCCAGTTTGCCAGCATCTCCTTTGTAGCTAGGGGCCCAGCACGGGGCCCAAGCCTCCAGGTGCGGCCTCATCGGAGCTGAGGAGAGGAGAGCGATCCCCTCCCTTGACCTGCTGGCCCCACTGTGCGTCCTGCAGCCCGCTGTGTGCTGGGCCTGTTGCAGAATGCACCACAGGCCCATACGCCGCACACTGACACCCACGTCCCCGTAGGCAGGGAGCCCCAGCTGTGTGGAGTTACTCTGCGCCAGGTGCAGGAATTTGCATTTGGTGTCATCCCCAAATCCGCCAAGGGTGCGTTCCACCTCGTTGCCAGGTCAATGATAAAGACGTTAGTATGGGCCCAAGTTTTGACGCTGGAGGAATGCCACTGCTAGCCTGCCTCCAGTTAGGCTTTGAGCCATTAACCACTGCCCTTTGAGCCCAGCAGTCCAGCCAGTTTTTCACCTACCTTGGAGACTATCCATCCAACCCATATCTCCTCAGTCTGGCTATCAGTAGACTATGAAAGACTGTGTTGAAAGTCTGCTGAAGTTCAGATAGACTGCATGTACAATTCTCCCTTCACCCACGGAGTCAGCCGTTTCATCATAGAAGGAAATCAGGTTGGTCAAGCATGATTTCACCTTGGTAAATCTATGTTGAGTGATTCTAGTTTTCCTTTGTCCTTCATGTGGCTAGAATGGGGAAGACTTGCTCCATAACTTTCCCAGGAGCTCATCTGAACTTTTTTCTTCTTGGCTTTTTAAAAGATGGATGTGATATTTGCCCTTTATCAGCAATTGGGGACCTCCCACAGTTGCCACAGCCTTTCAAAGAAGATAGAAAGGAGCCTCACAATGACTGGTGGATGAATTTTATCTGATATCATTGACTTGAGTATGTGAATAGTAACTTAAATTTTCCTTGATCCTCCTGTGCTGTGAATAGCACCTCTCTCCTCCAAATCTGATACTAGACATGGACACCTGTCTATGCTAGTAAGTAAAAAAGCAAACAAGGCATTAAATGCCTCAGCTTTTTCCATGTAGTTTTCCACTGAGTCCTTTCTGAGTGGGATGCCTGCCCCCTCTAGCAGCTGACCTTATGTTTTCCCTCATCTTTTGAGGCTGCTGTATTTGAAGAAGACTTCTTGTTGCCCTTTACATTCCCAGTGGTTC